CAGTCGTGTCCAACCAGAAGACGACCGCAGGCTAGACTAGGACATGTTGGAGAGATGAAATCTCTCAGCTGGCCTGGGAACACCTTGGTATTCCCTTGAAAGAGCTAGAGGAGGTGACTGGGGAGAGGGAGGTTAGGCCATCCCTGTTAAGACTGATACCCCCATGATCTGGACCTGGATAAACAGTAGAGAATGAATGAATAAATGGAAATCAATAAAAATTCAACAAGTCATAATCATAATGGACTAAGTCCTGTGTTCTCTACTACCTAGTATGGTCGCATATCTGTAACTATAAACATCCCTATTGCTTTAGTTATTTTTGTTTGGACATTTTTGAATTTACTGGCAAAACTTGCGGAGACTATAAGGCTCCACCTGGATCCGCCACTTGCACCACGACCACATCCCCTTTGCTCCTCATATCCCCACAACACTGACAGCTGCACTTCATTCCTCTGATTATCTATTGCTATATAAGCGACCTAACAAGTCTACCAGACCTATGAGGAATTGACTTGTGTGATTACTGAGTGGTCTGCTATCGTCCTGTTTTCTTCTGAATCCCCGAGTTTCCTACCATGCTTGCGATCACTCGTCCCATTCCCAGTGACTGTTTCCTGACGACTCTCTCAGCACAAGTATATCTCCGCTTTCCCACGTCTGCACACCTGCCTGCCTTTCCCTGCACCCCCAGGACAGACCTTTTTACTTCCTGACCCCGGCTCGTACCTCCGACCTCGTTTCCTGTTATGGATTCGGGGCATGGTGCAGGCGGGAGAAGGTGAAGATCCACTTGCGGCTCCAAGGGACAACAGGGGTTTATTGGGGGAACTAAAACATACACTGGGAACAAATCACCAAAATAAAAGGACCATGAGGGGTCAGAAAACCAACAGAGAAAAAGATAAGGAATTAACTAAAAAACCATAGAATAAACATAACTATGGAACTAAGCAGAACACAGGGAAGAGGACTGGGCAATAGAGCATGGTAACAAACACACAGTAACATTCACACACAGAGTAACATCTCACAATGACACTGGGGAAATTAACAAACCAACTCAATTAACCAATCAGTACAGGCAGAGGACAACAAGAAACAAGTGGAATACATTACAATTAACAAACACAGGAAACTAGGGAAATTTTACCAAACACAAGGTTAACACTAGGAAAGAAAAACTAGGAGCATAAGTACAAGCAGAGCAAAATAAAACTGGGTACAAGTAGAGTAAACCAAAACAGGGAAACATAAACCATAACAGATTCAAGGATAAAGCAAAAGCTAAAGGATAAAATAAAACTCAAAAAGAAATAAACAGAGGTGGGGCAGACCCCAGGCCCGCCTTGAACTCACAACTGGAGAGGTGTCAACTTCTGAGAAGCCACATTAGGGACTATGGTTACATGCCAGAGGGAACAGGATGGCCAGCAGCACCTGCTGGCCAGATGGGGACAAACACATAGGACAGGGATGGACCGACACCAACCCGGACAGTTTCCCTGTCCTTGTATCTGATTTTTGTTTGCTCTGTGTCTGGATCCCTGGTGCGTAAAGTTTCTGCATTACAGTGACTAACTTGCACAGTCGTACACAGACTCAGATGATGTTAATGAAATGAGTTAGCATATTGGATGTGTCTTCAGCAACATAGGTTAGATCAGTATAGCACAGCCTACACAAAGTCTTAGTCATATCAACTCCTTTCTCTGTAGTTTTGATGTAATCTATTGGGAAACCAAAATGTTCCTACACTACTGATTTAAGTGATGCAGGAGAGTCTTTGAACTTTGCAGCGCTACTTATAAACAACTCACAGCCGGAATTAGTGTAATATTTTCCGTCTCAATAAATGCCCATGTCAAAAATGTATTCATCTGTTTTGCTAAAACAGCACATGACAAATATATAAACTGCTACAGTCTTTGCTTTATCTTTAAATGTTGACCTGAAATTCTCTTCAGCAAAAACTATTTAAAAAAAAATCATACACATCAAATTGGCAAATTGGGACTTCACTGTCAATTCACACCACTACTAAAAAACCAGTCAGCACAAGCAAGTGATCCCCAAGTCTTGATTTTGTTTTTCCTTGTTTTCCATATGGATATTTTTGTATTGCCGAACAAAAAATGAAAGGCCAGTACAGAACTATGTGCAGAACAGTCTTTATTCTCCTGAAAGACTGGGCAAACATTTAATAATTTTCATGAGTTAGGTGGGTCACATTTCTCTTCATAGCTATTATCCCATATAATATCTTCTATTAGAGGGCCTCAACCTCTTTTTGATGGGGGGTTTGTACAATCAACACCAGCTGCCACTTGGGGAAGGGTCTAAACCAGTGCTTAACTTGTAAACTTTGAGGGCTGGAGCTCATAAAGACCACAATGATGTCATACACACAAATTGGTTATTGACAATGATAATGTGCTAATATTAACGTAACATGTAACAATGCAATATTTCCTATCGACACCTGTTACTTACATCCAACTTTCCATCAACACTGAACTTTCCTTGCTCCTTTTTGTGGTCCTTCTCATTAGAATTAGCATCCACAAACACTGCTCTCCTCACTGTCTCTGCTTGTTCTTTCGTCAAGATTTCTGGTTCATTTCTGTTCTGCTTGGGTTCTGATGGCTTTGTTACTTTGGAGAAAAAAATCTAAATATTACTCTTTTCAACATTTTCTTTTAATTTTGTTGTAACAATCTGGTAAGTAACCTCATCTATTTTAGTGGCAAAAAGTATTTTTTTCTGTGTGCACGTGGTTCTTTTTTTCTCTTTTTTAAACAAAACTCAGATAAGTAAAACATACTAATTTAGACAGATGTGTTTCAAAAAATCAAAACACAATACACATGACAGAAATGATTTTATAAATAAATAGCGATGTGCAAAAGTCCTAGACGGTCTAACAAATTGATGCTCAAATGATCTTCATGTTCGGGTAAGACTATCAAAGTGTGTCAGCTTAGCCACTTACGGAAAATCTCTCCTAAAGTCACCCCAACATTTGCAACAACCATCCAATACACCCATGTAATTTTGATTCGGCCCATGCACCCCCCTTTTATAGCTAATGAATAACTCACTGACTTTCCTGGACTAATTAAATTGGTAAATTAATTGAGGTGGATGTGAAATGTAAGAAATACATGAAATAGCTGAACTGCCGCTAAGAATCCAACTCTAACCATCCAACAAGTTATCAGTAGAACGTAGGAAAGTCTTGCTCGTTTTTGTTGTGTTACTCTTAATTTTCATATATATGTTCTAATGCTAAATCGTGTTTTTGGTTCTGAGCACATATACCCTTACTACTTAGATAAATACCTTTAAACATTTCCTTTGACTGGCTAAGACTTTTGCACGGTACTGTACATTTCTGTAGTTCATATACACCATTTGCATGTATTCCACCGTTTGAGGTGGAGCACCGGACAGCACCTGCGAGCTGCTAGGGATACAGACGTCCTGGAGCTAAACTTCGGCACAAATTAAGCACTGGTCTGGGCCAAAGGTAGCAATCCATTTGGAGGCCTAACCC